CGGTTTAGGGTTTTGTCTGATGTCCCACCAGCCTCCCTCCCGCGCTGCAAGTTACGTTTACTCGCTATGCAGTTCCCTTCATCTGTGAACTAAGTGATTGTCATGTAAGGGCTACCTTTTGACTACGTCTTCCTCTGCTCAACCACCGAAGCCCTTTCAAAGAGTACTCATCTTGAAATGCGAAATCTAAAATGCCCTCTGTTGTTTCGGGGAAAAAGTGGATCTTTAAATATGTAACACGGTTTTTCATTTTGACTTGGTGATCAAAATTTAACTCTCATATCAATATATCACAAGCATTGTAACTTCCTCCGTTGCAGATCTCCGAGAATGACTAACAAAAGCGTCCTTTTTCTGCCAAGAATGTAAGATTTTAACTTGCCACCAGAACACAGCTGATTTTGCAAATCACGTAAAATCTAGGAAATAATGAAGTTCACGTCTTCCCGTGATAGTCGAAAGTATGCTATCCCGCTGTGCTTGACTGCAATATCCAAAATACCTGTGATAATATTTCAAGTAGGTCGGCAAACATGACCAGGCACGCTACTTGTAAGATATAGCCACCTGAGGATAATTGAGGTTTTATCGTAACTAGGCGTCATCAGAAGCTTGTCTTCAGTTTTATGAGACCGCTGTAGTTAATCGACTAACTGGTCAAGGTTACAGTCGGCCTACACCGCGCGTTCTTCGTGTGACCACCGCTTCACAGGGTGCTAACTGCCAGACTTTCTCTGTTCCGGTCTTGATCGGCGTTCGACCACATCTTGGGTCGCTGGCTTCTTCACAGGAAGGAAAATTGGATCATTCCGCCACCGGGCCAATGCAGCTGTCTCTGAGACGTGTTTTGCGATAGCTTACAAATGCGGTGCTATTGTGACTTCAGTGTAGGAAGTTGTGTGCATTTCCTACCCAACCTTTACGAAGTCCTTGCTACGTGCTCAATATTTGCATCCTCTCGATTGACAACCTACAGTCATGGCTGATGTCAAAAATTCCCACTTCGGTATTAAATGTTTGTTTTAGTTACGGTCGACGTTTGCCCCTTAACTCGCATCATTTTTTTAACAGCTGAACTGGAGGTTTAGTTCTGAACTAACTTCATGACAATTTGGTTTGTTTATCGGGATACATGCGATTATTGGTTTAACGTCAGCAAACAAAATATCGTATGGTTATCTGCAAACACCCATTCGGATAGGGGATTCGAATCGGGTTCTCCTATGGGAACGGCTCAAAACTGAAGAGGTGGCTCCCTGACTGTGGAAGGGATTTATAGTCTAAGTACTGTCGGAACTACCCTTCTTGCATCTGCGTCCTTTTGTAATGTCTTGCACATATTTTCCATCAGGTCTCTATTTTGTCCTGCTCTTTATAGTCCATGTACAACATTGGACTTGTTCTTTGTGGTTTCATTAGGTAGCGTTGCCCAATACATGGCACACCTTTTTGTTTTCGCTCTTGCTCTAACCTAGAATATCAACGCTTTATGCTGACATTTATGTTTTTGCAGGCCTTCAGATGTGGGCTACTGATGGCTCTTCCTTTAAATTTGTTTGATTAGTTTACTCTGATTTTCACGTACAGATGTCTATCGTCTTCAAAAATCTTTAAAACGAACAGGTGCCCCTGACATCTTTAAATGATACCTAATAATGTCTCAGGGACGCCTAGAATATGCTGTGTCTGGGGTAATTAGGCATCCGTTGACGAGTACTTCTTTTATGCCTTCTAAGCCACTTGAAGGGTGACTAGAACTAGTCTTCAGGCAACTGATAATAGTTTCCATTAAGTTAGCATCCTTACCCACTTCCTATGACTTCCATGTAGGTGCAATGGAGAACAAGTTTGGCGATGGCTCTTTCTGGGTAGCACGTCTGCTTGACAGGATTATCGAAGTGTCTCCTGCCTGCAAAGCCAGTCTCAAGGCCTTTCTGGAGCGTGCAAAGAATCCCTTCGGCACTGCACCACATATTGGTGGCGATCCAAAGGCGGCTGATAAAGAAAAGGACGAGGGGTGAGTGCTTTTTTGCTTTCTTTCATGCCTTGTCCCACCCGTGTACGCAGCTGCTACTAATACTGTCTTGCTAACTGCAGTGGCATCTTGTTACCAACCAGTCGTCATTTAACAGAATGGGTCAGTCTTGATAGGCGCTGTCAGTCTGGCCGAAAATTGGGGAAAGCCTCGGCAAACCTCCACGCCTTCATGAACACGAGCCTGTTAGCTGACCACAGCATTTTGATTAACCTCAGGTATTTAATTAAAGCGATGGTAATTCATTATTGGTTTAAGAAATTTTCTACGAGTAAGAGTCAGGCTGTACTTTGCCTGCCTGCTCTTCCCGTTACAATTACTTAAAATCTCGTCCCCCTCCCAGTAGGGTTGTGGAAAAAACAACTGTGCTCGACACCGTTCATCACCTTCCTCATCTTTTGTCCTTACTGCTGTCTTCCATCGAGCATCTAGCTCAAGTCCTCGGACATACCGCCAGGTGTCAAAAGCGCCTTAAGCATGTTTTTTTTACCAACTCAGTCGTACGCTTCTTCTTCGTCGATGAAACGGGCGATGGCGATGTTGGGTGTTTCTGCTGTGTCGCTGCGTCTAAGCTGAAAACCCAGTAAGTACGTACTTCAGCACTCGATCTGCGTGGACTTATAAGGCACAAATGACGTGACTCTGCGCTGACCTGCTGACAGCGGTAGCTGTGTTCTAATACCGCCCTGTTTTATGTTTTCTTTGTAATTCACTGGCTTGCCTACTAATAATTTCTTGATATTATTCGTAAACGATTAGTTCGCAGCTGTTCCCATTCCTCTACCTGTGTTTAAAAGCCGCAGATTAGGCTCACACTTTCAAATGCATTTTAAGTTGACAACAGACGCGGGAAGACAGGAAGTAAGCGTCTCACATACTAAGCACCGTGGTCGGCTGTTGCATGCTCTGTCTTTGGCTTTTCCTAGCCCAATGCACTTTGTCTAGCCCATTTGCACAGTTTAATGTCCCCGCTAGCCCTTTATCTAAGCTGCTCACAGTTGCTTTTATCCCTATCCGCCAGATGCACCATGATTCCTGGTGTTCACAGCAGCGCGGCCTCGCGAGCTAAGCGGAAAATGATGGCTTCAGAACGCCGGAAGCGCTTGCTGGATCAAATGGCTTCAAAGCAGCGGGCATTCGCCTCCAACTTCCTCAAGGATGTTGATTTAGGTGAGTTGGCTCCCTCTTATCCCCCTGGTTATGTGTATGCTGGTGTGTGTGTGTCAAGGGGCCAGGTCGTGTTGTGGCGCGCGCAGACGGGTTTGCCGGAACCTTCAGCCAATGCGCCCATCCCACTCCAGGCGACCGTTCAACTAGGCGGTGGTCTGTTGCTGGCGGTGAGGGAGAGAGTAAGGCCGACCCTCAGCACATTTATTTCGTCATTAAAACAATCTGATGTGCTTGAAGCTATCGCCGTGCGCTAAAAGCCGTGGCTTGGAGAGTTGCAAAATGACGGGGTAAC